AGTAATTAAAACAAAAAGTACAAGACAACACACTGCTAAATTTATATAACATCCTCTCTAGTGTAACAATACACCCCAGACATGTCACACTTTAAAATATATTTTATTGGGTGTTGTAATTGTTTATTATTAATTTAAATCTTAATAATGAAGAACATGTACATGAGAAACACAATTTAACATGATTTTTCCTGTACAGAGAGATAATTAAAAGAAATACAATCCAACAAAACGATGCACAATTCATATAGCACCATTTTTTGTGTAATAATAAACCCCAGGCGTTTTACATTTTCGATGCATTGGTTTGTGTGTGTGTGTTTGTTGTGTAAAGACCATGTGATATATTAGTAAACACGAAAAGATGAAAAAATAATATCTCTCAGAAATGATGCCTTTAAAAATTATCAAATACAAGACGAAGAAAATAATTCAAAATTATATGGAGGTAAGATATGGTATACACCTAAATGTTTTAAAATATATATACGATTTTCTTTAAATAAAACATAGGAATCGCAAATATGAATGGCATTAAAATGTTTTTAATTTTGTTTTTTTTAATTTGAATTCCGTTTCAGTGGGAATTTTAGCGATTTATCCTTAAAAATTGATATTCGAGATATAATTTCAGCGATTGTTAAAGCTCACTACAACTAAAGTTCAATTAATTTGAAGCTATCTTGGCACCGTCTCTAATAATACCATGATTAATCTTCGCTAAAAGATATGTTTATACAGTATGTGTCCGATGATTTTTTTTTCTTTGAACATCAAATTTTTGTGAAGATGTCGACATTACAGATAAATAACGCTCTGCAAACTTCTTTGTTTGTTTTAGTTTAAATAAGAGTTATTAAAATTTATCAGAAAACCCAATCTGAATAATAATGGTGGAGCAGGGGTTTTTATTGAATTTCTTAGTTAAATATAACTAACATAATTTATTTGTATTTAAAATATATAATTTGGAATTTTATCTACTTGACAATAGCAAATTCAATAGCCGCAGAATTCATAAATTGTACCTGTAAATGATAGTCTTGAATATTACACCTGTTTAATTAGCGTGGAACTAAAAAGTATACAGAATATAAAAAAAAATCGTCTTTTTTTTTTTTAACTTACTAATCTTTCAACACAAAAAGTATAATTGTGATGATATACGTAATTTAAATGAAATTTTAAGAACTAATCGCAAATGCACTGTACCTAAGGTCCCCGTGGCAGGTCCTGAAAGAAAGAGTTGATATTTTCCGGCTTAATTAGACAGAGAATCCGTCGTACATTTCATACAGCGTTGTACCATTCTGTAGAGTGATGGAAACATAAAGGGATGCCTTATTCTCCTTTGTTAACAGATGGATGGCGTCATTTCCTGTATAGTAAGATAAAATAGAAATCAAAGTCTATTGCAATACGATAATTGTCTTTTGAATATGAATATATACACTTTAAACAATCAAACTATTTCCCATAACCTCTAGTCATTAAAGTAGAATTTTGCTTTTTTTAAAGAAAATCACGACGAAAGATTGATTCTTCTTATTTTCTTTTTTTGGTAAGATTTCAATCAAACACGACCATAGAGTATTGTCACAAATATATCCTTCAATCTCAAAATAAGTTCTTTGAACCACGTAGTCGGAAAATAGCTCTTCAAAGCTAATGTTCTCTGTTGATGTACCCGACTTTAAATAAATATTATCTATCTTATCTTTACGTTTATTTCCATTCTATTTGACAATTGAGACAGTTTGTTAGTTTTTGAAGCGGTTGAGTTTTTAAAGAACATGTCGATTACCAATCCAGTAATTCTGTTCTGGGGCACCAAAACCACTTTTATATTCCGTCCAACTTCTGTCAAAACTCACGGATCCGTCTACACGTTTTTGAATTGCCTTTAAAATTAACAATTATAGCAATATAATTCTCTGTTCTGAACAAATGTTTATTACAAATATTATAATACGAACTAAAATATACGTATTTTATTATTGTTTTTAAGAATCGGAACACTTTATATGAAATATGCATTATAAATTTAAACATCTGTACACACAGTCCACCCTCCTTCCATTGTCTTCATATCACAGTACACTGTTACAGGCATGGTAATGGTGCGATATGGGTAAATGTCGTACACGCCAGAATTAGAGCCAGAATTTTCATGAAGATCTTCACAATCAAAGGGAATTGCTGAAAAGGGAAAAATAAAATGCTTGAATCAAGAATCGGCCAATTTATGTATTGGCGAGCATCGTCAAGTGTTCGTTGAATCTGAGGTCACCATAAGTATTGGAAATAGACATCGGCAAATAATTGTTGATGTTGGACCAAACATTGGCTCACAGTCGACTAACGTACAAATGACAAAAAAAACAATGTTCACCAATGTTCGAGCGATGTAAAGTACTTCAGCTTGAATAAGTGATGCATCATCAAGCCTTTATCAATCTGGTGTAACGTTAAATGTTGATCCAAGTTGAAAATTCAGCCGGGGGTCATTTTTAACTTTGGGAATATTGAACCCAGGTGTTTTTTCTACGTTGAGAAGAATTGAGACCAAAAGTCGTTGAATGTATTCCCGGGGTAATTTTTCATTTTTTTAATTTATATTCTTATCCCTGATGACCTCAACACGTTGAAAATTGACCCCACCTCAGAGTTTGAAAATGATTTGAACTTGGAGGTTGTTTTTTTACAGGATTTATCAGTATCAGTAAGCCTATCATCCAATGTATATATGTACATTTTGATCAGTGCACAATTTCATTCATCTTCAAGCATGGCAAATTATTTTTTGACAATACTTTCTAAAATCCATGGCATCCATAAATACAAACTTGTGAATAGGGCATAAAACAAAAATCCTGAAAATCTGGTGTAAAAATAAGGACATCAATTAGCCAGACTTTTCCATGAAAATCATAAGGACGCTACACTTTAAACCAAACTTCTAAACCAGTCACTGCTTTCTTTTGGAAATATATGTTTTCATTTTTATATATAGAAATATTGTAAAGAGTGTTCGGCAGTTTTTTTAACTGGTACTTGCCCTAAAACCTGCCTCATCAAGGGTCAATCTTCTCAGTGTATTCTTGTGGTAAACATGATACAAAAATTATATCATAATCGCCTTTGCTTTCGTCTTTGCTATAAGCTTTAATTGGTTCCGAAGTAAATATTTCTTTGCATCTTGTGTCTCTTTTCGTTTCATTCCAGTATTTTAAGATGCATATTTTAGTTCCTTGACTCTCGAATTAATCAATTTATTATGGGGTCTCGAGTAGCCGAAACTTTTATTTAAGATCTCATTTTTGTATGTTTCAATTATTCCTGTGATAATAGGGTCTCTTTCTGGATCGGAGAATCCGCGGGTATGTTAAGGAAGCATATAAGTCATTTCTCGGGAAATTTAGACTTTTTAAAGAAAACTAAGTTTGATTAACTACCAAAACCGCTGATAAGCATAAACTATTATTAACTATTGCAAACAGACAAAAAGAGTGTCTAACGCAAAGACGTACATCACCACCACGACATCACGTGACTTCTATTAATAGCGAAATTTTCCTTAATAAAAAGGCTAACAGAACAACAATACCCCGGAGTTTAATACTTTCTTTGAGTAAATAATATTGTTGATAAACATCTAATTTACCTAAAAAGTGCTGCTAGAATCCCACTGTCCTGTCAATAAAATAATTTATCTATATATTCACACGAAACCTTACCCCATGTTTTGAATTTTATACATATGAATCGAGATTTTTCGTAAAACAATGTTTAACTCGGGATTCTAGCAGCACTTTCCAAGTTTGTCGAAGGGCAAACTTTCCATTTGTACAAATCTTATATTTTGAAATATCCAGCTTATTGTTGTTCTATCGCATTATTTTTGTCAAGAATGACAGAGGAAAGGCCGACCGGGATACGTTATATAGCTAACTGTCTTCGAAAAAGAATAAAATCGATGAAAATAAAATAGGATACCTTTATAATTGACTGAACCCCTAATGAATTTCACATAACATTAACGAGATTTCCTTTTAAAGTTCATTTTACGTATCTTTGTACATGCCGTCTTAGCCAAATTCTCTTTACAAAACATAATTAATTCTCAACTTACTTGATGTACGCATATGACGTCATCGGTGGTAGATTTTTATCACAATTTTTATCAATGTTTACACCTTAATATTCATTTTCTAGAGTTGAATTACGTCTCTAAATGCCCATATTACGAAAACTTGTGTTATAAAATTGATGTCATCTAGCCTACTATGACGTCATAATGTAGCACCGATTTAGTCAAGGTAGAATATTTTGTATGCTTCCTTATTACCCCTGCGTCCTCTCTTTGACAAGTGATTTTTAATGTTTTGTAGAATACTGTAAAATCACATATTTTCGATGGGTCAAATTTTCGTGGTTTGAGGAAAAAATGTTGGTTCGTGGGGATTTGATTTCGTGGATAAGAACTTTTTAGTAGTTATGTATATGAAAATTTACTTTTTGTGGTGGACATAAATTCGTGGGATTCTTCATACCACGAAAACAACGAAAATTAAACCCCCACGAAAATTAGTGATTTCACAGTAATACTGAGAGCAGTGTCAATGGGATTTCTCACATGTCTTTTGCATTTACCTTTAACCAAACCTTTGAATACCGCTGGGTTGTAAGATCTTTCTCTGTGTAGATATTGGAAATTGTTTGAAGGCTTTATGTAAGATTTGATATCAAGTTTGTTTGATTCTTAAAATTTTCTTCCATTATAAACTTCTGTGTCTAAAAAGTGTTTTGAATGAACAGAGATTTCAAAGGTGAATTTTAAGTGCGGATGACACTGATTGCCAAGGTCAAAGAAATCGAGGACCCTAAAAAAATATAATTAACTATAGTTCACTATAGTTTACTATAATAAGCTATTGTAATCAAAGTGCCAAAGTTTTTGTCAAAGTTTTCAAAGTGTCAAAGTTTCCGCCAAAGTTTTTTCAAAGTGTCAAAGATTTCGCCATTTTTTTTTCAAAGTGTCAAAGTTTTTGCCAAAGTTTTCCAAAGTGTCAAAGTTTTCGCTAAAGTTTTCAAAGTGTCAAAGTTTTCTCCAAAGTTTTTCAAAGTGTCAAAGTTTTCAATAAAGTTTTTCAAAGTGTTAAAGTTATCACTATAGTTAATTAAAGTTTTCAAAGTGTCAAAGTTATAACTTTAGTTTACTATGGTTAACGATAGTAAACCATAGTTAACTATAGTAATTTTTTTGTTAGGGAATCTCAGTCTCAGAGATACCCCCTACCCCCATATTCCATCTTCTACTTAACAAAATAAATATGTATTGTAGGGTTCGTTCTTGAACTGTTTGATTAAATATACCAAAAAGATCACTAAGCCTTTTAATTTGAAAAAAAAAATCCGTTTTTCAAGTTTGTTATTATGTTATTTATGTTGTGCATAACTAAACAGGTATTAAATCGTACGTGCATCATGCGTTAAACTCTTACCATTTTCAAAATACTAATATGACGAATTTTCAGATTGAAATAAATGAAGTGATTTTAGCAAAAAAGAAATATAGATAAACAGATTCATGAACCAAATTGTATATTGTGTAACTATGTATACTAATAGGATTTTCATATACTAATGATTTAATTACATATACTAATGATTTTTTAAAATAAATATTACACGAAATATTGCAATTTTAAACTACGTGTAACTTTAAGATCTATCATATTTATTCTAGGAACATAACTGAATTAAGTGTGTATTGATTACATTCGTGTCGGGAACAAATTGAAAGTTGGGGGGGGGTGTAAAAAATAATTAACAAAAAAGAAAAAAAAAATGTTTGTCCATTGTCAAAACTAGTAGTCCAAACCCAAAAAAAATCCTATTTCGGGGAAGGGGGGGGGGGGTTGTTAGGATCTAATTTCACTTTTTTACCAAGAACTACCACTTACTCTTCTGCCTGTCGGAAGCGGGGCTAATTCAATTTCACTTTGTTCAAGGCCTATATTAACAAAATAAGGGCAGGGGGGCTAAGCATCCTTCCCCAGCCCTTCCTGACGCCCATTGGTTAAATCACATCAAACCAAGTCATAATTATGTGTTTTATGCTGTTGAATTTAGAACCGGTTTCATGATCGATATTTCCCGACCCGGCTCAGTTTTCAACGGACTAAAGTCTAAATTCAACATCTTGGGTCTCAGTATTCAACGTTGAAAAATGACCCCAGGACAACTTTTAACCCGGGTCAAAATTTAACGTTACACCGGCGGGTAATCAAGCCTTTTTAATGAAAAACTCATCGATTGTCCATTGTGTACACCATTACTGAATAATGTGACTAATACTTTAAGGACTATTTTGCTGATGAGGACCGGTGTTGTGACATCGCTTTTACAATCGACTAACATAAGTCTACAGCCACTGGCCAGGAAATATAACTTAGACATCAGGAACTACTTCTTACGTCGCGGTTCAAGTCGACTGTAGGATGTGGAGATTGGACCTACAAATGAGACCGTGTAAACTGAGGTCCCATTTTGCATCAGATTTTGGCCCGAAAAAGATCCCGACTCAATGGCTCTCGTATGCATGTATGTCGCGTAAAGGACATAATTTGAAGCCCACTATTTACAGAGAGGCTTTATATAAAAACAAGTATACAGAAACTAGAAAAGAAACTCGTTGCGAGCAACGAGAGGTCTTCCGTCCAATTCTGGAAAAAAAAAAACCCCGCAAAATCGAGCTGAAAAGTGATATAACTTTTCATGGAATCAAAGGGGATTGAACCCGGGTTGCCAGCGCAAAAATCCAAAGCGCTGACTACTACGCTATTGAGACCATAGCTTTAAATATACATTTATATACTTCTGCAACAGTACATCTGTCTTAGAATAATGAAAGGCGGGTCACTATTCTTAATTTTGCGTCAAACGAATCGAAAAAATCTTCGGGCCTTTTTCTTTAGAATGTTCCATTAAATAGGTGTGATAGTTTCAATGGAAATAAAAAAAAATGTTCGTATAGCTTAAATTTCATTTTTAAGAAAGTATATTTAACGTATTAACACATATCGTATATAGATAACTAGCACTATTTCAGTGAAACTGCTATAATTTTCAACTGATTTTTATTTTGCTGTTTATCCCTATACTGAAATATCCCGATTACTTAAACTTTCATGTACAGCTTGAATTGCTTCGCCGAAAAGCGTGTCGCCCTATGACGGTCAAGGAATCAGACACCATTTATGTTTAATAACTTGAATGAGATCATTGAGACAAGAATGATGATATAAACTCCATTAAATTATCTTTTTAGATATGGTTTTCTTATTTCTTTCTTTTCTATTTGTTTAATTCAAGTGTGCATTAGGAAAACGGTGGTAACGTTTAATACTTACTATATATGTTTCTTAAAAACTATTACTTATAACTATGGTTTAAAATCTGTTATTCCGCAAAAAGTAAAAGATACTAGGTATCGTATTTCATTTGCACATTTGGTCTTTTCTTTTTCTGCTTTGAGAACCGGCCAAAACCAATTATAGAAGACGTTTGAGAGCACCATGGATTAAAACATAGTTTGACACATGTTTGCAACGTAACAACGACGTGACAATCCTAGTATTCCTTTACACTTCTTTTATCCCTATTTTACTTTCGTTCAAGCAAACGCTCTGCTGCCTCCGTAAACCCCTATTGCGAAATGACGGAGTTGACAGAGATAGCCGCCATTTTGGACCCACTTCAGATTTTTGAATGTTAATTTCTAGAGTTTGGATTTATCAATATTCAAACAAATTACATAGTAAGCTTAATAAGAAGGGTTTCTATTCACATTCTAAAAATCAATGAAAAATATTGAAAAACAAAAAAGTTAGAAAATACGGACTTTTTAATTTCGCTTCCGGTAGCAACCGGAAGTACCGACGACACACGAAAAGGTGATTCGTCACATCTAAAAGTCATCATCTATAATCTCTTACAAGTCTCCAGTTAATATCTTAAACCATTTTCGAAAAAAAGGGGGGACAAAATTGCATTTTAAAATCAGAAAAGTGTCAATAACTTGGAACCAAAGGTGAGTATTCCAAATTTTCCTATCCATGCCACAGCTTCGTATAATGACGCATAATTCCTAAAATTTTTACAAAAAACTACTGAATAGTTTTCGAGAAATCGCCTGCACAAAATTTTGGGGAAAAAAATAAGAATAACTAGATGAAACTCGTTGCTAGCAACGAGAGGTCTTCCGTCCGTTTCCGGAAAGAAAACGTAAAATCGAGCTGAAAAGTAAAAAAAAGATTTGCACACAAGGGGATTGAACCCAAGTCGCCAGTATAAAATTCCAACGCACACTAAATATTACACAATTGGGACATCTACTCTACGAAGCAGTGCCTCTCTCTTAAAAGTATGAAAGTTGGTCACTATTCAAAATTTAGCTCCAAACGCCAGGAGTTAATCTTCGCGCCTTTTCTCTGGAATGTTCTATTAAATAGGTGTGATAGCTTCAATGAAATTAAAAAAAAACGTTCTTATAGCCTTAGATTCGAGGTTTAGAAAATATTTTTAACACATTTTACAAATTCCATATTGTATATATGCATGTAACACTAAAGCGATGAAACTGTTATGAATTTTTAACTTTTTTCAATTTCCTGTTTATCCCCAAAGTGAACTATCCCGATTAGTTAATCGAAAGAGGTCGAAAAACATGGCTCGCCCTACGACGGTCAAGGAATCAGATATCATTTATGCTCAATAACTTGAATCAGGTCTTTGAGACAAGAATTCTAAAATAAACTCCATGAAGAGATCTTTAAAAACTCGTTTTCTTATTTCTCTCTTATTTATTAGTTTAATATGACACAAGTGTGCATAGGAAAAACAGTGGTTAAGATCTGAACTTTCAATATTAATCGATATTCTTTTTTGAGAAAGTATTTTTTATAAATATGATTAAAGATCTGGTTTTCCGTGATGCATAAAAGATATAAGGTATCGAATTTCATTTGCACATTTAGTCTTTTCTTTTTCTACTTTGAGAACCAGTCAAAACCAATTATAGGAGACGTTAGTTTGACACAGAACTGCAACGTAACTAAGACGTGACAATCCAAGTATTCCTTTACATTTCATTTATCCTTATGTAACTTTCGTTCAAGCAAACGCTCGGCTGCCTCCGCAAACCCCTATTGCGAAATGTCGGCGTTGACAGAGACAGCCGCCATTTTGGACCCGCTTCAGATTTCTGAATGCTAATATCTAGAGTATAGATTTATAAATATTCAAACAAATTAGATAGTAAGCATTATAGAGAAGGTTTCTATTAACATACCGAAAATAAATGAAAATTACTGAAAAACAAAAAAGTTAGAAAATTCGATTTTTTTAAATTTGCATTTCGTAACAACCGGAAGTATTGACGACCCACGAAAAGGCGATTCTGCAAACCAGAAAATCATAATCTATCATCTCCAATAAGTCTCCAGTTCATATCCTTAGCCATTTTCGATAAAAAGGGGCGACAAAATCGCATTTTAAAATCAGGAAATTGTCCATAACTTGGCACCAGAAGCGAATTTTCCAAATTTCTCTTCGGATGTAACAACTTCATATAATGACACATATCTTGTGAAAGTTTCATGAAAAACCGCTGAATAGTTTTCGAAAAATCGCCTGCACAAAATTTTGTCAAAAAAAAGAATAATAATAATAATAATAAGAATAATAATAAGAAACAGTAGAATCACTATAAGGTCTTCCGTGAAGACGGAAGACCTTAATAAGAAAATTAGAATCACTAGAAGGTCTTCCGTGTAGACGGAAGACCTTAATAACAGTTATACATACAGTCATATGAGTAGTATCTCCAGCCACTCTCATTAAACAGTCCCGACGTAAAAACCTTCTTGTGGGTCCGACATTTCTTCAACTGAGGATGAAATCCATAGAAGCTACACTCGCCTTGACACATGGCGGTACACTCGGTCAAAGAGTGAGAACTCTGTTCTCCTAAAAGTTCCTCATTAGATTTCTTATCGTTAAACTCTATTTTCAAAGTATATTTCTGAGAAAAAACTGTAGCTTCGGAAAAAGCCATGTATGCGACAATTAAAGTGATAACACACAAATTGCTCATTTTTAAAATTTTTAAAGAAGAAAACTGCCGTTTACTTGTGAATCTGTCAAATGTTGCTAAGTTGTCTAATATCTGCCAGATATATATATCAGAACCTAAATCAATGCCTGAAAATTGATTGGCTAATTGTTATTTAAGTTCTTTATTTTACTGTTGTTAAATTATCGATTTTATTGAAGTTAATATCAATTTTCACAAAAGTATTCTTTGAAATTGAAATTAAGAATATAGCAATGAAAATTGTGCTGTTTTTTTTCTCTGACTGAATACATGCTATGTTGTGATATCGTACAGTGTTTTTTTTTCAGTAGCTATCTTTGAAATATGGAAATTCAATATATATCTTTCTTTATCGCCTCACTCTAAATAAAACTAAGAATCAGCAATATCGAAATCAAGTTCCAAGGAACAATTATTTGACTCTCAGACATTATTTAGAATATATCAATTTATTTCAAATTTGATACATTAGCTTCTAAATGTTAATGTAACATGATACTTCATTACTGGTTTATTTTTTCCCGCTTGAAAAGCGGGAGGGTATATAGTATATCGGTAAAGAAACATGTATCTGACTCTCAGATATTATTTAGAATTCATAAATTTATTTCAAGTTTGTTACATTAACCTCTTAATGATAATGTAAAATGATACATCATTATTGCTTTATTATACCCCCGCTTGAAAAGCGGGAGGGTATATAGTAATCTGTATGCCATTGTGTATCTGCTATTTTTCTTTTTGATCCGATACGTATTCTGGTTCACATAGCAGACTATGGACACTGTCGTTATATTCATTTAAGAGGAGGGGGTATCATTTAGTGATTTCATTGCTTACAGTATCTCTAGTTTACTTTTGAATTAATTTCTTCGGACAGCACCGAACACATCTTAGAAGGACGTAGATTTGTTAAATACAATAATAGGAATACTCATTAAGAATGTTCTTTGGTGTGATAAAATACTTTCTTAAATGGAAATATTCTAACTTTACATGTTCAAGATAAGGGGTTTGTAATAACCTTTTTTTTAAATAAAACTGAGACCCAAAATGGTGAATGGCTAAGATTTCATCTTTGTTATGATTCTTACACTATCTTTTTTAACTTCAAAAGTCAGACACAATATTCTTTGGGCTTGTAGAAATAATGCTTAATCTGCATATAGAAACATACATACATTATCCAGACAAGTGATACTGCCGTGTGTTTGTATGCAGTTTCATTGAAAAAGTAATGAAAGGGTCCTAATAAATCGATTTATTGCAAGGGCATATCCTCAATGTATCTTGTCAAATTTTTAAACATAAAGTCAAGAAGCCTTAAGATATTTGAAAAGTGCTGCGAACTTCATGAAATCTTGGCAATAAATTAATTATAGCTATATTTATTGTAGTTGACCAGCAAAATATTTGACCTGCCGTCTAACAAATTAAATTTTAGCAATTAAAAAAGGGAATTTATAAAGGTTCGCATCACTTTTCACAAACTACATATAGTGTTGAAAAGGATTATAGATTAAACTATGTTTTTTTTTACTTTGTTATGCTCTTGCATTATTGGAATTTATAGATGACCTCTAAGCTGTAAGTATAATTGCAAAAATAATATGACGTCGACATCACGTGACAAGTATAAATAAAAAAAATCTCAATGTCCCCGACATTTAGATTTAAACTACATTATTTTTTTTTTAATATCAATGAATCCCTAAAAAGAATCTCCCATCCTAATAAAGTATGTATTTTTTTATCTTAAAAAATGGCTGATATTGTCATTTGTAACCTTAACTGTGCTGAGTATTCTACGGTCCTGGATTAACGACAGAATGGGTTCCGTGTATTGACAATATATCAAGGAAAAAAGGAGATATACCTCTAACACTCAGTGCGTACTAGTCCTGAGTGTAACCATGGTATATACGAATCGAAGAGAAGACGTTTAAAAATGAGTTGAATTTTCGCTTTTATGTTAATTTTCTAAGGTTTAAGACATACATTTCCTCAACAGGGCTTGTTTTGGTATTCATTTTCAATTCAAAATCCTATTTTATTCTTTAATATCGTTTCGGAACTATTCTCATTCTACGAGTTTTTTTTTACTTTACGAGTGTATAAGGCATTGCAACTATGGTGATGGATTGTTCAGGGCACCGTTAAATTATTCTATCTACATGTAATTGACAACCCAAATATAAAGTTTGAATTCTTTCAATATACTTCTTTAATCACGTGTAATAAGCTGATTTGATGACTTCATGCATGCATATATAATGAAATTCATAGACATCTCTATTTTTATAACAGATCAACTTAATACTAAGATATTTTATTCATAAACAAAGAATTATCGAAATATTCACTTTATTCGGGGGAGGGGCTTTTTCTGATACAGGAAATCATAAAATTTTAACATTCAAAGAAAAGAGGAATCCAGTAGGAGGCAATACTCTTAGAATGGTTCTTCTTGTTTTTACTTGCGAATTACGTACATATGTAACAGTTATCGGAAAACAATTCACCTAACCGATTCTGTAGATGAAAAAGTTTTACATAAATTTTCAAAACTAAACTGAATAATGGAGTTGCAATATCAGTCAAAAAAGTTTTAAAAAGTATCTTTATCGCAAAGTATTTAACTGGAAATCGATATTCAAATTATTTCAAATATCTTTATAAAGTAAATTAATAATAAAAGAGAACATTCAAACAATTGTTCATTGATATATATATTTTTTTTTTTGGATAAATTGTCTTTTATCAGAAGCTGATTCAAATCCATTTTATGAGGAAGATAATAAATAAAATTTTCGTTTCCTTTCTTTGATCTTTAAAAGCCGAAGTGTTTCTAATAAATCATACTCTTTTCATATATAAATAGGTTCTTTTAACACAGATGATATAATTTGTGTCCTTTTACATAGATATTTACGGCTTAAAACGTATCAATTTTAATGATTGATTTATTAATCATAAAGAATTGTACATTTTCGGACCAATGAATTCTACGCCAAATTATGAACATTTTTATCATCCCTAACGTTGTTTCCTGTAAAAAAGGAAACTC